AGCCGAACTATACCCCTGTTATCAAACATCCAGCAAACAAATTTAACTAACATCCATTATAAAAAGAAGGTCCATTTTTGCATGAGGTAATGGAGGAGTATGAGATGTTGATTTCATTAATTTTCCATAGGTACAATCAGTCCCAACTGCAGTGTATCTCTCTCTGTCTTTTAGGCACAATGCAACAGCAATATTACTTCCAACTTGTTACCATTATAGCTTTTCAAATTCCACTGTTGAACATAAGTCTCCCACAAAGATTACCTCAAAGGGAGGATGTTTGCCATGCTTGGTGGGGGCAACTGCAACTTTATTTTACTCGTTATTAGAAAGACACTGCTGCCTATCTTCTGAATTGTTTCTCTCTGTCACATCTTACAACAATCACGGGACAATATGGGGTAGTGGATATTCTTACGCTGCCACTATATGATTTCAAATTTCTTGCAGCCCAAACATCCTCTTAATAAATTTTGTAAGTTATCAATATTTTTAAATGTTACTATTTATAAATGAAATAAAATTAATAAACTTATTCCACTCAATATGTGGAGCCTAAAACAATATAAATTCATCATCATTAATTAGAAACAAAACCTTTGAAATGAATCAACCTGGCCACTTCAAAACAAATAAACTCAAGTGTAAACCTAAATATAGCCACCCCAATAGATAATAGAGGAAAACTACACTAACCACAGTTACATTTGTATCAACAAGAGCAAGTTGCAGCGACCCAGCCACAAGTACGGCAATATGATTGTATAATGCACAATCTATTTGCTAATATGGAATTGTGAAGGCTGCAATTATCTTAAAAAGGCTAATGCAACATGTGCTTTCGACAACATTGAATTGCCAATTGAACTGCAAATTTGTATTTTGAGTGGGATTATATTACAGCCAAATCTTTTAAAGAGATTTACAAGCTAGTAATAACATTGAATTTCCCATAATATTGTTTATTGTAAAAAACCTTAAGGGAATATAGTGTACACTCAAATTTTAATAAAGTTTGTGAAGCTCAAGGTTATTTTTAATTATGACTTACGAAATTTTCTAATAGTCAATCCTTGGAGAAACATAACACAAATGTAGGCAGTTATAAAACTAAATAAACTAAATTCAAAAGACAAATAAGTTTTCTTCATAATGTTCTGCCACAACCATTATAAGTGTATGGAGTAGTGCTGTAACTGTTACTAACTGTTCTGGCAGGAATGTATATATTACGTAATATATTTTATATATATTATATATTTGTATAGAATATATTTCAAATTTAATTACAATAAGGTAAAATATTTTGTGTAATGAAATATTTAAAAAAAATAGCTTTATTCCTCATTGATATAAACTGCTTTCTTACAAGAAGTAATTTATTTATTTTTTATTATATCAGCTTCTTAAGGTTTTAATTTTTCATAAAAAGTTCTGTGGAAATGAGGACTAAAATGATAAGAATGGCATAAGTTTTGCAAAGATTGTGATACTACAACTAAGGGATTTCTTTTATGTGGATTATTCTTCAACCACAGTTTAAGCTCAGGTCTATCAAACAACCACATTTTGTAATCAGATGTAGGCTAAGAATATATTTCAAATTCAAATAATATCTATGAAATTTAATGACCATCAATAAAACATATTGTGTAATGAAATATTGGAAAAAATTTGCTTTACTCTTATTGATATAGGCAGTCTTATTACAAAATGGAGTTTATAAAATCAGTCTCAGGCTTAAACTATTAATCTGTTTCACTAAAAGTCCACACAAAAAAAACCGGCCAAGAGCGTGTCGGGCCACGCTCAGTGTAGGGTTCCGTAGTTTCCCGTCCGTCACAATAAGTGTTCCCACTTATGAGTTTAAAGGTGGGTATCCATTATGTTCGCGCTCCAGCAGCGCTCCGCGCTCCTGCAACTGCTCCCGGTAGTGGGTACGTGCGCGAGCATGGAGCGTGCAACATTGCACGCTCCGCGGCAGGCGATGCCAAGGAGAGACCAACCGAACAATTCGATAATACCCGACCCAATGTAATAAGTACCTACAGCGCCATCTCTCGGGGAATTGGGTTACTAATTAATACATAGACGTGTCAGAAGTTTTCGGTGGTAATTTTGGATAATTTTTTAATAATTCTTTTTTTTGTTTGAAAACAGATACGTTCAGGATAATAAAATATGTAAACGAAGTTAAAAAAAATGCCTGTTTAAACGATTATACTACAAACTTAGTCCAGAAATTATTTAGTACAACTTTTTGTCTTTTTTTGTACAAAAACTGTTTCCATCCAGGTTCAAAATAATTTTCCTAGAAAGTCCTTATAAAGTTCTACCTTTCAGATTTTTTTCATATTTTCTAAACCTATGGTTCAAAAGTTAGAGGGGGGGGACACATTGTTTTTCACTTTTGGAGCGATTATTTCTGAAATTATTGACATTATCAAAAAATGGTTTTAGTAAACCCCTATTCATTTTTAAATACCTTTCCAACAATATATCACACGTAAGGGTTGAAATTAAAAAAAAAGTACTTCCCACTTTACATATAGGGGGGCTACCCTAATAAAACATTTTTTTTCCAATTTTTATTTTACCACTTTGTCGGCGTCATTGATACACATATTGGTACCAAATTTCAGCTTTCTAGTGCTAACGGTCACAGAGATTAAGCGAGGACGGACAGACGGACAGACAGACATGGCGAAACTATAAGGGTTCCTATTTGACTACGGAACCCTAAAAAGGACTTTTGTGAGAAGAGTGACAAACTGGCACAGTAAGTGGATGGTGTGGCCTATAGACATCTAGTTCTATCCTCAATTAAGAATCAAAATGTAGATGAGTTGTCACCCCTGAGGACTAAAATGGAATGCTTTGTTTCCAGTGCAAGTGGTAAAATTAAAAATTTAAGGATAACTCAAAAACTTCTGGTCAAACCTTGATCAAAATTATATGGGACTACATGTGAGCTTCCTGATAAAAGAATAATCATCAAAATCGGTTGCCCGAGTAAAGTTATGAGGTAAAACACACAAAAAACCTCTTTAGTCGCATGGAAAAAGGGAGACTTCTCTACACTCACCATACATAACAAAGCAGCATCGGTATTCTGTGAGTGTGGTTCTTCCCTGGTAGTACGACCCTTTGTGCTACAACCATAATAAAGCTGCAGTATGGCATATTTTGTAAGACAGAAGAAGTTTAATGTTTGAATTGAAATCTGATAGATGTAAATATTCAACTATCATAACAGATCAAAAGCATTTTATAAGACAAGGGAGAGCTAAGAGCTACAGAGGTGTTGATTTGACGGCTTTTTAAAGTGAGAAGAATTAGTGTAATTTTTTGTCAACTGGTATTTGCCTTGTGGTGAGGATGAAAGTACAATGCATGAGAAATTGGATTTCAGGGGTTTTTTTATAATAATTTGCTTGTTAAAGTTAATAGAAATACTAGTATTGTTGGTATTCTTTAAAAAAAATTAAAACTACTTGATCAGCAAATCTATATCAAAGCACCTTCAGCAAGAGTAGAAGTTATGTAATTATGAAAGTATTATTGTTTTCTATATATCCTTTGTTATTTCATTATAATATTATTCTTTATGATAAAAATAGTGAAACACATATAATTGTTTTCTATTGTTATTTTAAGAGCCGTGGTAGCTCAGTGGTTAACGCTCGCTGTAAATATAACAGAACGCGAATAACCCGGTTCGATCCCCGCCGGCACCAATGAAATTGTTAATTGCAATTTTAAGTGCTGATTTACCACGTGCTCGGCGGTGAAGGAAAACATCGTGAGGAAACCTGCATGTCTGAGGAATAAGAAAAAAAATATTTCGAAGACATGTGAAGTTCGTCAACACGCAAGCCCAGCAGTGGGACGTATATAGGCTGTAACTTTACTTATTCTTTATGATAAAAATAGTGAAACACATATAATTGTTTTCTATTGTTATTTTTTATAAATTGAAGTTTAAAATTAAAGTTAAATGGCTACTATAGCTCAGTTTCCACCAATAACCAAATTTAAACAAAAATGGAAATGCAATAACAACAAAGACCTGACCGGAATATAGCAGTACACATACTGTTGCTCAGCTGTTAATCACCCAGATGAACTCCTAGGTAGAAAAGAAGATCTACAACCTAGTGATGTATTACATCATGTTTTTGTTGTTGGAATTAACTTACAAAGATAAACCATTTCTCTGTCCCATGAGTCATACATGAATATTTCGCTTCTGTACTGACTTTTTCGCGAAGAGGGATGTTGTTAACATTAAAATAATGTTATATTTTAAGGTACACAATTTCTTTGTCGGCGTTATAATCCAATCAGAGATTTACTAAGCCTTTCAATACCAATTACTGCTTTACTTTCATGTTGTTTTAATTATAAAAAGGACTAGTAGCCGATTCTCAAAAAGAGAACAATAAAACACAGAGTGCAGTAACATACAAAATGTAAGAATGTAAAATTAATATGGTTTTATTTATAGAAACAGTATGAAAGCGACAAAAAGAAGTAAAAAAAGTGAACTATACCGGCAACAAGGAACAAAAAACATAACAAAGAATCACTGTACATTAATTATTTGCGGTTTTAGATAACTGTAAATGTGATCGCGCATCGTGCATCGTCTGAAGAAGCCAATCATGCGGCAACGCAACGGTTGCTCATTGTTAGAATCGGAATGCCCCAAAAAATACGTAATGAAGCGGTTATTACGAAAATATGCAAAAGGGCCCCGTACGCCCATATTCTTCAAAGTAAAGGAATTCAGAGCGCAATGACCTAAGAATCTTGAAAAGTAACGGCTCACAAAGATAGGCTCCGGCCGGTTAATTTTAATTTTATTGGAGCTAGCTTGGATAAGAATGTTCTCTAACAATTTGTATATAAACTACGAAACATTCATATTCGGACACTTTTCTAAGCGCTACAAAATATAAAACGTGATAAAAGATATAATTACAAAAAATATTACTCACCTCCGACTCGTAGCCTTCTTTTTGATAGAATAAACGAGTAAAAGAGAAAAAAGACAAAATGGGCAGCTGCATAGTGTTGCAAGTCTAAAGAATACAAAAGCTATCAACTTGGGTTTGGTCTTTTAGTAATCGATTTGGTAGATTTTATTGCACAGATTTAATTTTATTTTAAATTGTATTGGTTGATCAACGTGTTAGAGCCAGCTATATTATGGTTGTAGCACGAATGGGTCGACTCGATCGGGGTAGGCCCATGTTCTCATAGAATACCAGCGTAAAATATTAGCTTAATGAGGGTTAATAATCCTCCACGCACCAGATAACGGAAGTTATAACTGAGGTAAAGTTTTTTGTTACCCAATGTCAATTAATTGAGGATAAGTATTAAATAAGAGTTTATCGAATAAGGTTTGATCTTTAATTTTTGCACTTTGTAACTCTTATTTTCTGATTACCTACTATGGAGTGTAGAGGTAAGGAGAACAGACAGTGTATTAAAACGTGTCCGTAGAAAAGCGTTAAATGAGGGTGGCGTTACTGTAACTAGAGGGTAAATTTCAAAGAACTTTTTATAACAATTTATTACACAGACTTTCACCATAAGTAATTTTATAATAATTTTATTATTGTTTTCAAAATTTTTATTTTCAAAATCACTCTCAACGTGTTTTACGGTGATTTTTTTTAGGTTATATTTTGACGTTTTAAATACTGCAGTTTCATCAACTAATTTAGTCATCCAAAAATGTTAAATTCCTCAACTCAGCATATTTCAATCCGTCGACAACTGCTAAGTTCATTTCATATCCTCTAGCTACTTCAGCGCTTTTGTGGAGAGTTTTTAAACTGTTATTTACTGCTTACAGATGGACACTTTTTCAACTATTCTCCTATGGGAGTTGGTTCTTCATACCTCTACACTCCATGTTTCTACTTTTAGTTATTCCGTGGTTTGGTTTTTGTTTATAGGATAGGGTAATAAACGAGCACACAGTCCTACACCTAATAATGGTAAGTGGTTGCCATAGATCTAGACTAAATCTATGGTGGTTGCTACGGCCCATAGCCATATACATCTATCCTCGATTACGAATCTAAATGCAGATGCGTTGTCACCCCTCGAGAACTAAGATGGAATACCTCGTTTTGAGTAAAAAAGGTCTCCGGTCCTCTACACTCACCATACGAAATACAGCAGCATTAAGCTACTATTTTACGCTGATATTCTGTGAGAGCGTGGTCCTTTTCCGGTAGAGCTGACCTATTCGTACTACAACTATACATCTAATACAACTGCAGCATGGCTCTACCACGTATAAAACATTTTATTCATTTCTATAACTATTAATACAGAAAGAAACATGGAGCCTTACATTTTCCTAAGAATTATCTTTCACGCTATCAATCATTTGTCAAATATTTTATCGCTTTACAAAGTGGCTTCGCGCTGGTGGCAGAAAGAGTCGTGGATACCCTCATTCTGCTGTGTTTTTTATGGTTAGTGTAGGGAACTAGAGACTCATTTTACAGGATATGAGGCACTCTATCTTATTCGTCAGAATTGACAACACATTCACATGGATTTTTAATCGAGGATAAAAGTAGATATCTATGGGTCACATTACCCATTGACCATGAGGTGGACTGTGTGCTCGTTTGTCACTCTTATTATATAAAATAAAACCTAATACACATCTTTGTGATGATTCCTCAAAACTCGTTGTTATTAACAGTCGGTTCCATTTTCGAAATAAGTCAAAATATTTACATAATTTCAACGATTCATAATTATAAGACTATATATATATATATATATACATATATATATATATATATATATATATATATATATATATATATATATATATATATATATATATATTTATATAATAAAGCGGAATAGCTTTTTGTGTTTTTGTTTGTTTAAACACGCTATGGAAGTATAAGTCCGATATGTGTTTGGATAGCCAATTCATGAAGAGTAGTATAGGCACCTAATATTAGCCTATACCTATCAGCTAACCTTAAATATTGATTTTCAGCAAGTTGCATTTTTTCATTTTTTTATCTTTGACTTGATTTGCAGCAAGTCGGAAGAAAAAACGCTCGGTGCTTTATTCGAATGTGCTGGTGTAATAGTTATTCTACATCATTAAATATAGATCTTCATTACATTTAAAGAGAACGCTAAACCATATGCCTATTTCTTATACATAAACCGCAATAAGTTATTTTGTGACAAAAAATTTTGAAAGTTATCAACTAACTTATGAGCGTTTCTATTAGGCATGGCGAACGATTCCGAAAGAAAGTTACTTTCTCTTCAAAATAATTTTATGAAGGAAAACTTTTAAAAGCATGTTATTTGGGCACATAGTTTAAGAGATAATAAAAAAAATAAATTAAATAGACACTCGGCTCGGCGCGTGAACGACGCATAACCCTAGCCGTTCGACGAGAACCAAAAAACCCAGCAGTGAACCAGTGAACGCCTATATTATGAGCAAGGTATCATGGCACGGGGCTCAGATACAAGATATATGTGGGTAATTAATATGTTGATAATTACTATAAAATAAATGCATTGTATTTTTGCCACTCTTTTTCTTAAATAAAGCGCAAATCTCCTTCGAACGTACCATATTTTATTTTAACCAGTTTATAATATTATATAGAGCATTGGTTATTATCCAACGAAACATTAGTCATTAGTGTTCAGTCACTGGAGAGTTAAATCAATTTTTTTATGTAGCAATTCTTTTTTTGCGCTGATAATTTTTAAAGTTGTTAATTAATTGATCAGAAGGATGAGATATTGAAAAATAATAAAACAGGCATCGCAATAATATTTAAGAAAATGGCACCTCCAAAATATGGTTGTTAAGTCTTTCCAATTTCAACTCAATATGATTATTACCAATATATATACTAAGCACATTATAGTAATGAAAATATTTTGTGAAATAATTATTTTAGATCTGAATAATCGTAAAACTTACCAATATTAAACAAAATATTTTTGTTAGGAACACCATCAATTAGTCTGCTAGAAACTAGTTCAAACTAGTTCAAACTAGTTCTTTCGTCCAAAAACACTTAAAATTTAAAAATTAAATAGGCAAAATATTTAAGTATAAAATTAATTGCGTTCAATTATTGTTTATCTTGTTCTTGCTGTAAGGTTGTTGCATTTAGCATTGCTTTATGGGTATGCTGTACAAAATAAAAATATACGATAGTATTTTATAAAAAATTTGAATTAAAATCGAATGTAAATAGTGTCGCTATATTGCATAGACTTAGTCTAGATATAGTATCTAGGTTCTTATTTTTTTTTATTTATGACAACCTATAAGACGTACACGAACAAAATGTAAATACTACAAATTACAGGAAGGTTTATGTTTAAGTGTCGTCTTAATTAAAGGCTGCCACGGCATACAATGTGGACAACGAATATGTTTCTTAAAGTTCTCAACTATAAACTTAAAACTAGGTCTAAATGTAAGTTAAAAGTAAAGGACTGCATAATTTGCCTTTGAATTTTTGAGGCTTATCAGCAAAAATATCAACGTCACATGTCTTGCAGAGCTGGTTTATTATTTATATTGCCTCTGTAACCTGTTTATGGTGGCGTGGTGACCCAAATTAGTTTTACTGCCTTCAACTGAAAAGGGGACGTATCGGCTGACACGCACTAGCTTAAAAGGTACATTGAAATTTATTGCACTTAGTAGGTATGGACAGTCTACGGTTCCATTGACGATTTTGTGTAACAACATGAAATCCAGCAAAAGGCTCCGCTGTTGCAGTAAGTAGCCTGCATTTAAAATACGTCAGTCGGTCTTCGTATGAGCGTAGATCCTTTATTTTCTAAGTTTGGTACGAAAGATGCCACAAAAAACGCTTCTGGATACGTTTCACGTAAATGTCATAAAATGAAGACCAGACCTGGCTACAGTATTCGAAGCTAGAACGGACTAAAAACTTGTACAAGGAAAATTTTGTAGAGGTCCTCTTAAATTCTTTAGAATTACGCAACACGAACCCCAACATTTGAAAACCCCTTGTAACAATTCTATCATCGTGCTTTTAAACGTGCATAAACCGCAACTTTTTGTCCAGAACCACACCCATATCTCGAACAGAGTCCACTTTTGCCAAAGGATGACCATCAATATTATACGTAGGTGTCGGAACATTTACACATCTTGAGAACCTTATAATTTTACACAAAAACATCCGGTCCAAATCCTCTTGCAATAGGAGTGAGTCACTGTGGTCTTTGATTTTCAAGGACAATTTCATGTCATCTGCGTACATAAAGCAGGTCGCGTGTTTAAAAGCAGACGCTAGGTCATTTATAAAAATATTGAAAAGAATCGGACCGAGATGGGAACCCTAGGGAATGTTAGACGTAGGTAGAAATGGTTCTGAGGAGTAAAAATTTACCACAACTCTCGATTTTCTCTGTCTGAGGTATGAAGAGAACCATTCGAGAAGATTGCCAGGATGCCCAAAATTGAGAGTTTCTGAAGTAAGATGTTATGATCTACAATGTCAAACGCCTTACTGAAGTCTGTGTAGATGGTGTCCACAGACAAGCGCGAATCAAGACACTTGGAGACATAGTCCACAAAGGAAACAATATTTGTAGCTGTAGAGCGAGATATTAAAAAGCCCGATTGTTGGGGTGAGATTATTTGTTTTATGTGCCAAGCCAAAACAAGACAAACTAATGATTCAAAAACTTTAGTGGAGACAGACAATATGGATAATGGTCTGTAATTTCTAACGGATCCTGCGTCTCCTGATTTATAAATTGGGATAATACGCCCCTTTTTCCAGACCGAAGGGAAAGTACCTGTTTTTAAAGACATATTGTAAATGGTTGGCAAAGGCAAGGATACCGCTTCGCGGCAATTCATTACAAACAAAGGGGGATATGTCGTCAGGCCCAGCCCCCTTGGCCCGATCTAGACCAGTAAGAGTTTTGAGTACTTGATCTTGTGAGAAGTGCAGATTAGTAAGATAATTTGAGGCACAAATCTGGTCGATAGTGGTCACAGACA